ATACCAATTTTACCCATTTTTTCCTTCAAAGCAAATCCAAAGGAATTAAAAAAAATATATATCGAAATTAAAATGTGAAATGTGGTGTGAAAGAAAAAGGGAAAATTACAAGCACTATCATTTTTTATCAATTTTACCAATTTTTTTCTTCAAGAAAAAATTCCATACGCATCATTCAAAGTCTATCATTGTCTATTGGCAGCGTGGCAACGTTCCTCGTCACCAAATTGTAATTTTTTCCACATCCTTTTATTAAACATCTTCGATCGATCGATTTTATTTACCTGAAACGGTAGTCGAAACGTGAACGCCAATGGCACCAGGAACGAGAACAGGACGTAGAATCTCATTTTATTCGATTATATATAGGATCACCTGCGAACAGATACCATCGATTAATTGAATCGAGTCAAGTCGTAATACGTTTTCTTCTTTCAAACGAAAGTTAATACCTCGAAGGTAGCTCAAAAACTTTTCAAAAGTATTTCCAAAAACTTGGACGAATGATAATAATAAAATAGTAAAACTTGCAATTTCGAAATCTTTCGATAATTTGGGTAAAATTGTCCCGAATTTTGAACGATCGTGAAAATATCGTCGAGGGACGTTGCATTTCTGAATAAATTAGATTGGGGGGCTTCCTTGATAACGCGCGTTTAGATAAATCGCAAAGTTGGCTTCGCGCTCTACAATGCGTGAAAGTGTTGAAGTCAGTATCGAAGAGAGCAATTAACCCTGTCTTGGATCGTGCAAAATCGTTGGAAACAGACTTTCGAAAGTACGGGGAATTTGCTTTTGTAAGAGAGGAATGATATATGGGATTTGAAAGTGTAATTTTTTTTTTTTTTTTTTTTTTCATTCCGTTTATTTCTCGGATGATTTTTTTCGAACAAAAGTCGTTTCCCACAAATCTGTACACCCTTTTTTCGAATTAATAAACGATCGAATAATCGTGTATTTAACCTTTGAATTAACTTGAAAATTCAATTTTCAAAACGCGCGTTCGTCGTAAAAAAAAAAAAACGAAAAACGATTTTTATTTTCAATTTACAAAACGATACAAAAAAATATTCTTTTTTAATTATTGCGTTATTATTACGATATCAGAATGGGAGAATTAATGAAAAAAAATTTGTTTCTCGAGAGAGTCGAAGAAATATCCCTTTTGATTTATTCTTATCCACAATACAAACTCACAAATTATTATACGTATATGTATATATATATATATATATCCATTCAGTTTTCCTTTCACTACTACAACAATCCCGTTCAACCTTCAAATTAAAATTAAATCCACGTGCACGTTGTCGCTTTAATTATTGTTACAAAATATAATTCTATCTATTAGTCCGATATAAATTCGATCATCGTCGAAAAATCGAAGCTCTCTCGTGGAATTAAAAAAAAAAAGCCAAGTCAACGTCTTTTTTCAAAAAAAGTTCGAAACGAGGAGAGGAGGGAAGGAAATTCGACATTATCGATTTCTACAATTTCAATCTAAAAATTTTACAAAAAAAAAAAAATTTCAAATTCTCCTCGCGAAAATAACAAGCGGACTCGCAATTTTACAGATCGAATTAAAATCCGATCCGGGACAATTCAAAATTCTAATTTTTAATCCCTTCACGAAACAACGTTATTACAAAATTTCCCAAACTTTTTCTTCTTTTTTTTTCTTTTAAACCAACCTGAACAAGAGGAGTCGTCGTCGACGAGAGGATGTTCTCGATATCGGTGCTTCGAGAGAGGAGGAGGGCCGGTCAAGTGGCTCGTTGTGGAGCACAGTATCGAAAGACATTTGGGCGGCCAGTGGCGAGTGGCGCGCCGCTACGGATCCTACGTGGTCCTCTCTCGATCGTCACAAAGAGGACCTCGAGGCTGCGCCACGTGAAAGCTCGACGACGAACCGATCATCCGTCCGTTTTTCCACGCGTGCAGCGGGACCCGCGTCCACGGCCGCACTAGACGGCGGTAATTAAGGAGGCCTGTCCGACCCTCTCTTTCGGAGAAAGAGGCAGCTGACGTCGCGAAACAATTTTAGGGGAGGGGGAAGGGTTTAAAACTCGACTCGATTAATAACGATTAATAATTATTTTTTTTTTTTTTATTCGAGCGAAAATTGGAAGAGAATTGTTTGTTTCGAAAAAAAAAAAAAACGAACAAAGAGCAGTCGTGGGCGGATTTATCTGTGCTCTGAGGTCAGTGGACAAGAACAGGGGGAGACGTGGGATGCTCGAGATTAATTCGATCGAAGATAAATGTGCGTTTCTCTCCGGTTTGTAATCAAAAATTGTAACAAATTGTTTCGCGAGGGAAATTTTTTTGGAAGGGATATAGCGTTGTACATCGTTGAGGATCGAGTTAGAAACGAGAGAATTAGGAGAAGGATATTCGTGATTTGATCGTGCCACGAGGTGGTCTGGTTTTCTGGTCACAACAAAAAAAGGCGAAAGGGGACGAAGAGAGGCCGAAAGTATATTTTGCACGCAGTTGGGGCTCTTTCTTTCGAGGAGCAATGATGAGTCACGTGTTCGCGTCACGTTTACGAAAAGTATTAGCTTCGCGGATGAGTGAATGTTGTTCGCGAATGAAAGGAGAGAAAAAGTATGCACTTCGATGAAGTTTGTACTCGAGGAATGGTGTCTTTTTCAAAAAATTTGTAATTTACAACGTAACGACACTTCTTGGAAACAACGTACCTTTTTAGAAAATTGGACAAGAATTCACTTCTCGCGATATTCTCGAAACCAAACTGGAATTGGATTCTCCCGCCGTTTATATGCGGTCCCGCGATTCGGTTGATAAAATTTCATATCGATTTTCTTTTCTTTCTTTTTCTTTTCTTTTACCGATCAATTACAAAACAATTAAAGAGATTAAAAAAAGGGACCACTTGTAGAGATCGATGATATCAATTACGTGTGAAACGTCGTGCAAGATAAGTAGATTGTTTCACAGTCAAATATGTACATCGCGTGCATATTCCCTCTTCATCATTTCTCCTTTCCTTCCTTCTTTGTCGTCGTTTGTTTCGTGGAAAATTTTTTTTCTTTTTTCGTTCGAAATAATAATCTTTCGCGCCAATTTTTTTTCCATCGTTATATCATTATTAAAATTGGATCTCGATTTCGAAATACTAGAGCATACGATTTTTGTTTATACGATACCTTCCTCCTTCCCGTTATATACTTTCTTTATCTAACGCGTTTACAAATATTTTTCTCCCGTTCAACTTCTTTTTCTTTTTCCCCACACACGTGTACACCATATGCGACTAAATCGTGGGAGATAAACTATACATTTTCACACGTGTCCTTCGATGAACAAAAAATCCACGATTCATTCCGACCATCTGTTCTCTCCTTCTTTTCTCTCTCTCTCTCTCTCTCTCTTTTTTCTTATCACCAAGTTCCACTAATTAATAAATACGAGAATCCTTGCACGTATTATTATTTTTACGATTTATCAGTGGAAAAAATCTTATTGCGATCTTCGAGTTTGTATGAATCTTATCGTCGTGAATGTGCTGCTTTGTCGATCGAGATTAACTATTAGAGAATTATCTAAGGGGGGAGGGGGGGAATTGTTTCCTTCTCCTCACTCGTGATAAATTAAATTTATCGACTCGAGTCGAATTCGAATGTTGGCTGTTGCGGAAAAATTATTTTTTTTTTTCTCTCTCCAGCTTCACGCTGGGAGAGAAAGCTGAAGATAATTTCGTGGAAATTCCTTGGGAAAAATGGGTTCCACTGTAATGAACGGCACAATGAAAAACAAACGATACATTTGTTACGACATAATGTATTCCACGAGATATCGTGTTAATAATTGATAGAATATCGCCAATTGATTCGAACGATTGCTCGAGCACCTTTATCGTTTATACTTATCTCGAACAAGTTATTATTAAAATAAAAGGAAGAAAAATTTTAAATGCCACTTCGAGCCGATTGTTAAAAATTAATCTTTCCACTTTCCAATAATCGAGCTACTAATAAAAGAAAACTTTAAAGAAAGGATATATATATATATATATCGAATTTCTTCTTCTTCTTCTTTTTTCCAATGATCGTAAATTTTTATCTCGCGAAATTCTTACCGATTCTCCTCCATTTTTCCTCTCCTCTCCTCGGTCCTCACCCCCTTGCTTCAATTTTTCCTACGATCACATGTTTTCACTTCCGCCTTTCCAATACGTTTCGGATTATTTTCTGAGGCCAGCACAGTTTGCATCCGTCCAACAGTTTGCGCGACGAGGCGATTGTGAGGTTAAAAAGGAAGGAATTTATCTTCTGTGTGTATATTTATTCGACGATCTTGTTTCGAAACTTATATACAAACTTTCTTACTTTACACACGCGCGTACGTTCGATGTTCTAATTCGCGTCAATGTTCTCGTATATTCGATATTATTGAAACATTTAAAAGAAAGTGTCGAGGATAAAAGAAGATCAAATACAAAATCACTTTCGATTATTTACATTCGTCACATCGTTCGTAATAAAATGATTGTTTTCCAAGGATGTAACGATGTAATAAGAGATACACTTTATGAATGGTCGTAACATCGAAATTTCGATAATGAAAGTAGTATCGGGGCGGGATTGCTTTATCGAGATTTCGAAATTCGCGCCGAAACAACAATCCTCCCTCGAGAAGAATCGAAATATTTGAAATCGAATTTTTCCGCGAGAAAGAGAAAGAGAAGGTGCGTTTCGTTCGAGTGATCGAACTCGAATCGAGGTAGGTGCTGCTCGCGAGGTTTTCACTCTCGCCCGATTCTTCTGTCGAAAGTGGGACCTTAATTGAGCGGGCTCACCGTTCGTGAAAATTGTTTTCACGAACTCGCTGAGGAAAGTTGAGTCCGCTTCGCTTGTGAAACGAGCGGTGGTGGTAGGGATCCATAATGGTTTCAACAGGTGGAAGAATTGGCCGGTGAAGTGAGTTCTGTTTCTTCTAGCCTTCCGTGAAGGAAGGGGAGAATTTGTTGCCTCATTTTTTCGATCCGTATCTCTTTTGATTTGCTCGTTTTAAGGAGGAGGAGGGAGGGGGGGGGGGGGTTCAAGCGTGAAATTATAAATGTGATTAAAATTTGTGCTGTGGAGATAATAGGATAAGATAAGAGATTACGTATGTTGTATAATTTGGATTAATTTGGAGTGAGGAATTGTCTTTTGTTGTACAATCTTGTGCGATTGAAATAATTGTTGCGATAGTATATCATTTTACTGTATTTGCGCGAACATAATTTTTTGATTATCCATCGATCGTTTCCTTATGGATTTTAACTTTCTTGAATTTTCTTTTTTTTTTTTTTTTTTTTCTTAAAAAAATTCACCAAAGCTTCGAAATATTCGCGAAACTTTCAACAATTTTCGACCGAAGTTCACCTTCTTCGAAATATCCTAGGGGATTTATCAAATCCCTGAACAATCGTGACATCATTGACGACGATGATTTTCCTCTTTCATTTCGTTCGAATAAGAAACGCGTTACGAATTCGAATTCAATGTTGAGATTCTATCCTTCTCGATTTACTTCCTAATTTTTTTCACCATGGTTCCACTATTTTGTTTTAAGCAAATTCCCTAGCGGTTAATAATAAAGGCTTATCTTCCATCTCGCTTTCTCGTATGAAGGAATACCTAAAAATCGCGGAGGCTCGAAAAATTGCAACAGATCAGGAGGCTTCTTTTACGCAATTATCGTTTACATTTACAATTTTTTTTTCTTTTTTTTTTTTATTTCAGAGAAGAAGAGAAAATTTGCCTATTCGTTTCAATATATTCTTCTTCTTCTTTTTTATATCGTCAATTATAATACAGAAAAAGTTCAAGAAATAGAATAACGCATTATCATGGGAATTTTCGGATAGATGTAAGAATTTAATTTATCTCGCCGATCGATTAATTATTAAAACTGGTATAATGATATCATAATGAAATTCTGATCGTGAAACAAATAAATAGGAAGTAAATAGTTGCAAGTCAGCTAAACGTGCTACGATGATTGTACATGAATTGAGCGGAGAAATACACGTGTATGTAAATGAACTATATATATTAATTTAGAAAAAAAATCGGTGGCTTCGTTCCTTTCTTCCTACTTTCTTTCCTTTCACTAACCATCTGTGTATGTATGTATATGTAACTATTATCGGAGAAGAACAATGGTACAGGTGCAAAACGTTCAGTTTCCAAATTGAAAACGAATTTTTTATTCAATTAATAAACGATAATAATTAGAATTGTTAATTATCATCATTATTTACAATATTATTATTATCTATATCTTTTTTAAACATATGCTAATAATAAACTCTTTTTATTCGACGAATAGTCTCAAAATTTTCAACAATCAAAATTGTCAA